CTTTAGCTCTGAGGCCTGGCTGCTGAAAACATGGATACAATGTTGCGGTCTGAGCCCGGCTGAATGGGAGCCGGTTTCTGGGGTTTTGTTTAGCTTCTTATTTGCAACATAGTACATAGTTGCTTAGAGTTGCAGCTGAGAGGCCGGCAAGTGAGGTGGGGGAACTTTGGAGTTTGCAGCAAGCAAGCCTCATGCTCGCTTCAGTGCCTGGCTGCCGGCCGCCATCTTGGCTGACAGTTAATTTGCATATACTCACTGATTAGCCAATGAAAAGGGTAGCGGTCGTACGCTAATTACCATGTTTCTCTTTTATTAGTGTATATAATATTAACTTAAATGCATATAAATTGAATGTGTGTATTTTTCCATATTTGGATTCTATTTCTTAGATATACTTACTATTTCTCTAAGTTAAGTAAAAAATTCTACATGTATTCACTTTATTTTATTGTTTTAGCATCATTAAAAGAAATATACTTATTCAAAAAGGCAGATTTGATATCTGCTGTATATGTGTTCACTTTACATGAATCTCTTTTCTATCATTTCAGTTGTCTTATAATCAAATAATGCTTTAATTCAAAAATGTATTTTCTATTATTCAAAAAGATTACACTAAAATAATTCTGTCAAATTTGAGAGTAGATACAGTTTTTGAAACCCTTGGAATAGAGCTGTTTCATGGATGCTCAGCCAAAGGATAAGTATCTACGTCTATTTGCAGATTCTGAGCTACTGGAGCAAGTCAGAGCATAGAGCTGGGTCTATCCAACAGTTGTTTCATGTGTAAGGAAAGGAAACCAAATAAGACAAGAGAATGCATTGAACAATGGGTGAATCCCTGAAGTTTGAAACTATACAAAGAGGAAAAAATTAAAATTAAAGTAACAGTAGGGTTTGGTTTCCATTTTATAGTCTTTAAAAAGACACTTAGGTTATGGATGTAAAATAGTCATCATCCAGGCTAAAAATACAGAAGAATCCCTTAAAATCAACCTTTTCAACAAGGTATAAAAAGAATTATACACTACAAACAAGTGGAATTTATCCCAGGCATGAAATACTGGTTTAATATTAAAAAATCAATTATAGTAAGTCCTCACTTAACCTTTTTGATAGGTCCTTGGAAACTTCAATTTTAAGCAAAACTACATTGAGGAAACCAATTTTACCATAGATTAATTAATATAAACAAGAATTAAGTTCCTAAGTCATGCTTCTGGTCACAAAAATATCACCAGGTTTCTAAATAAAGACCCAAAAGACTTCTAATATTAAACATTGAAGTTAATGTGAGCTATATATACATGTAAAAAGATGAATAAAAATTCGAGTACTTTTCAATCTGCTTATTCCAGTTCAGTGTCATGGGTGGCCTGAGACTATCCTGGCCGCTCCTGGCACAAGACAGGAACCAACCCCAGACAGGACACTCTTCCATTGCAGGACACACATACACACACACACACACACACACACAGACTGGGAAAATTTCGACACACCAATTTATCCAACATGCATACCTTTGGGATTGCTCCCACCACTAATTCTGAGTGGGTTGACATATGGTAGAATTGTGCTGCAAAATGGTCATGTTGATTGTCTTCAATATCCAATTTGAGAAATAGGAGTTTAATTAAAATCACTATGAAAGCCTATTTTTCTTGTCCCATGAAAATGTAGTTCTATCCACATACAGTCCTGCTTTCCTGGAAAAGATAAATGGGGAGTAATGGATTGATATTAGCCCCTTAAAGTACAATGTTTGTATTGTATTTTTTAAATGAATCATCTAGGAATTCCATATTTTTATTTAACTTAATGAAACATTGAAGCCAATGAAAGAAAAATTTGAGAGGAAAAAATACTTTTTAATGTTAAATGTATTACTAAGGGTCTGAAAATTCAATAAAATTCTTAGAGCCTAAAAAAGATTCAGTTACACAAGATAAATAAATTCTAGAAATTTGCTGTACTACATTGTACCTATTGTTAAAAATACTCCATTGTGCAATCAGAGGGCAACAAACACAGGAGAAATCAAAGTGAGTAACATCTACCAATTTTACTGAGCTTTTAGGAGAGAATTGGTGATTAGATTAAATGATTCTGAAGGCAGAAATTCAATGGAAGAGCTCATTATTTCTATTATAGATAGAGCTGCTAAGGGTCATGTCCATTATGCAGGTGTAGAAGAGAAAGAGAAAAAAAGTTCTATTAGGCTTAGAATTTAATTCATGGTTATAATTCTGGCCATATGCTCTTCTTAAAATCAAAATGAATTGACTATTTAAACCATTTGTTTCCTTTGTTTTATATATATGTTTTCAAATACATATATTTAAGTAAAAGACAGAGAAAAGTTCCTTAATCATTATAATATGTATTACCTCATGGGTGGCATCATTTCTTAGTATATTAGAGACTTGCTCAAGTTTAGCCTCAGAGAATATATGCAACGTGCAATAGCCTGACAATAATAGCTTCATCAAGGAAATCATTTTTACTTTATTTTTATTTTTTTCATTTTATTTTTTCCATCACCATTTATCCTCTCTGTGCCCTCTTCCACATGCCCCCCAACACATTCCCCACATTGTTGCTGATGCTTATTATGTCTGCCTGCTCTCTATCTATGACTCTATCTCTATTTTGCTTGTTGGTTCAGATTTTTCATCATATGTAGAATTTAATGAACAACCCAAACTACTAAGGAATTCATTTTTAATATTCAATAACATAAACTATCTAATAGGACCTAAGATAGATTTGCTTCTCAATGCACTCTCCTTAGAAAATCAAGAAATATTTAGTTACATAGGATGTATACATTAATGCCTATGCCATTTCTTTAGTTATTCAACTAACTATAACAATGGTTCCCAAACTATAGCATGCATCAGAATCACCTGGAGGCCTTGTGAAAACAGATTTCTGGGCTTCACCTCAGATAAAATCGGTCTGTGGTAAGATCTGATAATTTGCATTTCTAACAAAACCCAGGTGGCACTGACACTATTAATATAATGACTGCACTTTTGTGATGCACAGATTAGAAGACAGGAACTATGTTGACTTAAATCTCTATACAGAAGTAATTAAATATTTAGAATCTTGATAATGGCATATGATGAGATAGAGACTCTCATTTGAACAGTGTAGACTCAGAGCCAATGTCAACAAAATCTTTTAAAATGAATAGATATTATGATTGAATTTATTATTGGAGGTTTAGAAAATTCTGCTGTTATCAGTAAGATTAGAGGCCCAGTGCACGAAATTCATGCACAGGTAGGGTCCCTAGGCCTGGCTGGCAATCAGGGCTGATCAGGTTCCCTGCCTCCCTGCCTCCTCGCCTCCTCCTTCCCTAACTCCTTCAGTGCCCCGCCGCTGCCACTGGTCATCCACCATGTTCTATGCCGCCCCCTGGTAGTCAGCACATGTCATCATAGCGAGTGATAGAACTCCTGGTCGAACTCCCGAGGGGACACTTTGCATATTAGCCTTTTATATTTATAGATAAGTGGCATCAGCTGTGTATAACAATAAATAAAATACAATGAGAATGAATGTTTTCTCACAGCTCTGGAGGCTAGAAGTCCGAGATCAGGGAGACAGTATGGTTGGGTTCTGGTGAGAGCTCTTTTCCTGCTTACAGATAGCCGACTCTCCATTGTGTCCTTACATGGGAAAGGGGTGCGGGAAGAAGAGGAGACCTTAAGAAGGTACTAATCTGCCCTAGCTAGCTTGTCTCAGTGTATAGAGCGTTGGTCTGTGGACTGAAGGGTCCCACGTTCGATTCCAGTCAAGGACATATGGCCAGGTTGTGGGCTCAATCCCCAGTAGGGGGTGTGCAGGAGGCAGCCAATCAATGATTCTCTCTCATCATTGATGTTTCTCTCTTTCTCTCTCTCCCTTCCTCTCTGAAATCAATAAAAATATTTTTTTAAAGAAGGTATTAATCTTATCATGAGCTCATCTAAACCTGGTGACCCTAGTGATCTCATCTAAACCTAATTATCTCCCAAAGACTCTCATCTCCAAATACAATCACAAATAACATCACATTTGAGGTTAGGAATTGAATATACAAATTCGGGAGTGGACACAATTCAGTCCATAGCAAGCTCTAGAGCAGTGGTTCTCAACTTGTGGGTCGTGACCCCTTTGGGGGTTGAACGACCTTTTTCACAGGGGTCACCTAAGACCATCGGAAAACACATATATAATTACATATTGTTTTTGTGATTAATCACTATGCTTTAATTATGTTCAATTTGTAACAATGAAAATGGGGGTCACCACAACATGAGAAACTGTATTAAAGGGTCGTGGCATTAGGAAGGTTGAGAACCACTGACCTAGAGAGAAAAATTTCATCTGACCCTGACTTCTTAGTAGTTTTTACAACATATGTCAGAACTGTCACAGGTCACATTTTTAGTGGCAAAATGGCACCATAATATTTTCTTTCCAGCGATTGAACCTCAGTTCAACAACCTCGGTACTTGAGTTCTGGCTAAGAAATAATTTAGAGCCAAGACTCAAATACAAGCAAAAGTTTATTTAGAAAGTCACAGAGGTAGAATAAGTGAGCCATGGAAGAAGTGTGCCAACTGGGCTGCATGGGCTCAAGAAATAAGTTACAGAGGCAAAAGAAGGACCCTTGGAGCTTAGGAAAAAGCATGGCAGGGAGAACATGTCCGGGGGAAGGAGGAGAGGAAGGGTGTGGGCATGCTCAGGAGAGAGAAAGAGTGCACACTTGGTCCTTGTCTTGAGGGTTTTTATCTGGAGGTTTCAGAGAATATTCATCAGCCTTCCAGGTGTGTCCTTTGGGTTGTGGTCTATACTGATTGGCTGGTGCTAGGGTAGTGGGTCATTAGTCAATGCAGCTAGTCCTGATGTTAGCTGTGGCATTGTTCCATCTTGTTTTGCTGCTTTTCTGGGCAAACAAAACTGAGGCCTTGATGTTATTTCTATGGCTTACTGCTTAAGGGAGTGGTCCTGCAAGAGCTTGTAAGGGAGTCCTATGAGGCTATTCTGTGGCCCCTCTGTTCCTCCTCTAACGGGGTCTACCATAGGACTGGTGACATGCCATAGGAGGAGAGGTCAGGGGAGGGTCCTAACTGCATGGCCAGCAATATGAATAATCAGGGATTCTAAACCTCATGACCTGTGATATGCTAGGAGGAGGAAAAGTCACCCGGGGGGCGAGGACCCACCAACTTCCCCATCTCATTTAGTGGACTCCATCCTTCTTGTTAAGATCCCAAAATTTAGTTTCAACTGTAACTCCCCTCACCCTTAACAGTTCGCACTATATTAACAAATACTGTTTGTACTAGCTTCAAAACAGATTTGGATTATGTCATGCCTCACAGCCATCACTGCACTGAGATTAAAACTACTTTCATCCCTCCACTATCCAGCTGGGTTTACTGCTCTAACCTCCCTGCTTCTGTGCTGCCCCTGCCCCTTTCAGTTTACTTTCATCTCTGCAACAGAACGACTCTTTCCACTATAAGGCAGATCAAGCTACTCTTCTTAAAACCCTTCAATGAATTCATTCTCCACCTCATTTGGTGTACTATTTCCCAAGGTCTAGTGTAACATGGGGTGGCTTAAAACAACAGAAAGGTATTCTCTTATAGTTTTAGAGGCTAGAAGTCTGAAATCAAGGTGCATGTTGGCAGGGCCATCCTTTCTCTGAAGACTCTAGAAGAGGATTATGCTTTGTTTCTGGTTTTTGCCAGCAACCCTTAGTGTTTCTTGGACTTATACCTGCATCACTCTAATCTCTGCATCTATCTTCACATGACTTTCTCTGCTATATGCCTCTTTGTCCACAGCTGTCCCTTTTTTATAAGGACACTAGTCATTGGATTAATGCCTCACCTCAATCTACTGTGACTTTAGCTTAATTTGATTATATTTGCAAAGATCTAGCCTACCTAATAAAGAAGGAATATGCTAATTGACCATCATGCCATCACAAGATGACGGTGCCCACAGCCAATAAAGAGGGAATATGCTAATTGACAGTCACATCCTCAGAAGATGGCAGCGCCCACAGCCACAAGATGGTGGCGCCCAGTCCCCTCAGCCCTGCCAGGGTTGGCAAGCACCACACACCTCATCCAGCCAGAGTCCCCCAGTCCCCTCATCCCCACCTCATCCAGCCTCAGTCCTCTCAGCCCCACCTCATCCAGCCTCAGTCCCCCAGTTTCCTCAGCCCCACCTCATCCAGCCTCAGTCCTCTCAGCCCCACCTCATCCAGCCTCAGTCCCCCAGTCCCCTCAGCCCCACCTCATCCAGCCGGAGTCCTCCAGTCCCCTCAGCCCCACCTCACCCAATCTCCACAGCATCCAGCCTCATCCAGCCTCAGGCCCCCAGTCCCCTCAGCCCCCCTTCATCCAGCTGGAGTCACCCAGCCTCATCAGCCCTGCAGGGGAAGGCAGTTGGGAGCTATCGGGCCAGCAGGGGAGAGCAGTTGGAGGCAATCAGGCCAGCAGGGGAGGGCAGCTAGGGACGATCATGCAGGCAGGGGAGCAGTTATGCGTCAATCAGACTGGCAGGAGAGCAGTTAGGGGCTATCAGGCTGGCAGGCAGAGTGGTTAGGGGCAATCAGGCAGGCAGGCAGGAGAGTGGTTAGGAGCCAGCAGTCCCGGATTGTGAGAGGGATGTCTGACTGCTGGTTTAGGCCGGATCCCACAGAGATTGGGCCTAAACTGGCAGTCGGACATCCCCCAGGGGGTCCCAGATTAGAGAGGATGCAGGCTGGGCTAAGAGACCCCCCCTGCACAAATTTTGTGCACTGGGCCTCTAGTTTCCAAATAAGTTTGTATTCACAGGCACTGGGAGTTAACACTTGAACATATATTTGAAGTGGTGACAGTGGGAAGCAAAATTCATACACAACACTCAAAGTAAATCCAAAGTCCTTACAATGGCACACAAACCCCAGTCTTTTCCTATTCAAAGTGTGATCTACAGATCAGTAGCATCAGCATCATCTGGGAGCCCTAAGAAACATTTACTCTGTACTTTAATCAATTTAATGTGACATGCAGATGATTTACATTAAAATTAAAATTTGAGAAGTACTGCTCTTCAGAGTGACCCACCTACTTTTCTGCTCTCACACCCACATCTTTCCATTTCTCTACTTCAATCATATTGGCCTTTTGTTGATTCTGAAATGCCTGGAAAACCCCTCTGCCAGATGTTTGCATAGATAATTCCTTCATCTGCTTCATATCTTTATGCAAATATCACTGCAGTGGGACTTCCCCTGTATATTCCATTTTAAATGAACATACCTATTAACCTCATCCCTCTTCTTTAATTTTTACTACAGCACTTCCTATCATTTAATATGCTAAATATCTTAATTAACATCATGTATTATTTTCTCTATCCACTAGAATATAAGCATCTTGAGCACGATTTAAACCTATCATGTTCACTGCTGAATTTTAGGCTCTCAATTTATTGAGACGCTCAATAAATGTGTCAAATAAATGACTCTATAAGTTTATTAATTTATTTGCCCATATACATTATTTAAGTCTTGTTATTTGAAATCAACTGCATTATTTCTATCATGTAATGCTATGCAACACTTATATAACCCAATGATTTCAGAGATTAAAAACATTATAATTTACTTGAACATTTGTGAGTCATTTTGTTCTTATCCTTGACCAATTCTCATGGTCAAGCATCCCTGAGCCATAGTACACACTGTGAAAATAAATGCATGTCTTTATGCATTCCAAATTTATCTCTTTTAGCTTTTAGAGAATGTTCCCTTCTTCTATGACACAGATTACTGTCACCACGTACATATGCACCACATGATGCCCACATGGCATTTTGTACCTTCTAAATATATATAAAATGCTAATATGCTAAGTATCCCTCTGACTGTCTGACTGGTCGCTATGACATGCACTGACCACCAGGGGGCAGATGCTCAATGCAAGAGCTGCCGTGACGTGATATGCACTGGCCATTTACAAAGAAACATCACTATGGATCTGGCGCCAACAAAGCAACATTCGGCTTCCCCCAAGTGGGACACAGGCCCCGCCACCAACCTGGAGCGACTGCCAACCAAATCGCAGCCAACACTGCCCAGACCCCATGGCACAAAATACAGTTCACAGTCCAGCCCAGCCCAGAAACAGTCACTGTGGGTGCCAGGTAATAACGTCACGTAGCAACGCCCAGCTTCCTCTACCTAGTGATTAGCCTCTTTGCAGTTTTTCACCCCAGGAACACAACTTGCTTTATAGTCAGGTGCAAACATTTACACTTTAACCAAATGTCTGTGAAGCGTTTTCCTGTGCCTCATCTCATTTGATCCTCACAGAAGTCCTGGAGTAAGTAGATAGGAGACTCAGTAGAATTCTATTTTCTTTTCATTAGCTGGAAAATGGAGATTTAGAAAGTTTAGAAACTTGACCCAACTGAAAAGAAGTAAGAAATGGTGGACCTTGAAAATGACTTCAGGTTTTCTCACTGTGCGAATATAGTCAAACACTGCTGCAGTTAAATATGTTACCCTTTGTTCTCCCTGCATGATCTACAATAACAATCTGCTTCATGTTGATATTTACTGCTGTGTTGCTGACAATTACCTGAAACAGAAATTGGGGTGCTTCACTGGGCTGGAAAAAGTTTAGCTAAATCAGAAAGCAGGTCTAATTAAGCAAATTTATCCTACATATATAAAAGGCTAAGTTGATTCATGCATGCACGATACATATAAAGCTCTCACTGGCGACAATCGCACGCATGTGTTTCAATCTGTCATTGTCAATTGTGAATTTGGTTGACACTTCTATTATAGAAAAAGGGTGAATAGTGATATTAAAATATATCTTCTAATTCAGTGGTTCTCAACCTTGCTAATGCCACGACCCTTTAATACAGTCACTCATGTTGTGGTGACCTCCAACCATAAAATTATTTTTGTTGCTACTTCATAACTGTAATTTTGCTACGAATCATAATTTTGTTATGAATCGTAATATAAATATCTGATATGCAGGATGTATTTTCATTGTTACAAATTGAACATAATTAAATCATAGTGATTAATCACAAAAACAATATGTAATTATATATTGTGAAATATTTATTTCTAATTATGAATAAATGAAATTTTGTCTTGAAGCATGGTGTACATGGGTAACAGTCTTTTTATATATTTTTTTATTGATTTTTTTTTTTTTTTTACAGAG